GAAGGCCTTCCCTGGCCTTGAGGGAAGGGGGTCCAGGTTTGGGGTTTTTGCTCTGTTGCTAGTGGCTGGGCTGCAGTTTTAATGGCCACTGAGCCTCCTCTCAGGGTGACCAACCCTCCTGGTTTGTCCAGCTCTGAGGGGTTTCCCAGGATGTGGGAAGTTCGGTCACCGGGAAGACCCAGGGTGACCAGGACAAGGTGGTCACCTCACTCTTCCTGATCGGAGGCTACAGGGAGAGGACAGAAGCCATAGGGCAAAGGGCACTTTGGGTGCAGGGGGAGGAAGGGATGGGAGAGGGGCCTGTGAGCCCCAGGGGTCCAGGGCAGTGATATTCCTCTGGGGATGGGGTCACGCTCCCACAATGCACAGCTCTTGCTTGGTGGCAGGCTGTCCTCTTCTCTGCCACTTTCAACCGTTTCTAAGAATGTCGTTCCCAGCTCTTTGATCCCATCCTAGGTGATACCCCCTCCTTGGTTGCTTTAAAGTGCAAAACTCAGAACCCAGGGCACAGGTGTGGACCAACCTGTGCAGAGAGGAGCACGGCTCTCTCCTCCCTGGTTCTAGGCTCTATGCCTTCATTAATGCAGCCCCAAACAACATCCCATCTGTGGTGAGCAGTATCGTGCTCCATCTGGACGCAGCGGAGCCTGAAACTGACCAGATGGCCCCTCCCAGGTCCTTTTCTGGTAAATAGCTCTTAAGGCGTGGGATTGTTGGGAAAGCTTGTAACCTCAGGGTGAAGGAAAGGCGAAGGGGCCCGAGACCAGTGGATTCCGGTGGCCAGGGCAAGAGTGTCAGGCTGGTTTCGGGGTTTGGGGCCAGTCCCAGCTCCCAAAGTTCAGCTCTGCTGGAGGGAGGGGTGACGTTCCAGCAGAGAGGGGGAGGATTCTGAGGGCAAAGAAGGTAGACAGCAAGGCTTCAGCTCTGACCCCGCAGAGCACACCCCGCGCGGGTGTGCGCAGAGGCGATAGAAGGACAGAGCCTTTGCCAGAACCCCGCCCACCGACGGGCGCCGCCCTCCTGTCCTGGGTCTGTGCGCACAGCAGAGCGGGGGCCCCGGGGACACAGCTCCCGACACCCTCGACGGAGCAGCTACCAGCCCAGCTGCCAGAGGGGCAGGGAGGGAAACTGTGGGTGGGGGGGTGGAGGTTCCAACAGCCACCAGCCAGCGGGCTCCACCTCCCAGGTTGTGAAACACCCACCGCAAACTGAGGCCTGGCACAGGCAGTGGGGGGCGGGGGGAGGCCCTGGAGGGCAGCCCTGGAGCAGGCAGAGACGCGGCCGGGAGGGAGTCACGGCCAGCTGTGTGGGGAAATGCAGGCGATGCCCACGCCCCCGATCACTGACCCATCGGTCCGTCCCAGACCCCACGCTGCTCACTTATTATCCTCACTCCACGAGGTCCTCAAACCCACCCTGTTATCCCGAGTCACGTGACAAAGAAGACTCAGAGAGGTCAAGTGACTGGCCCAAGGTCACACCGCCTGGACCTGGCAGAGCCCAGGGAGTCCAGGTCTGTGTGGACACAAAGGCCTTGCCCTTCACCAGCTGAAACAGAAACTTACCAGTTCTTGAGATTGGCCAGGTCCATTCTGGGACCCCTCACCTTGGGAGTCCCGAGCCCCAGAGCCCACAGACAGTACTGGGTGGCCAACACAGGCCCTATAAACCTGTGTTGACAGCTGGCCAGGGCAGGGAGCCCAAGGTGCTGGGTGGTCACCAGTGCCAAGGCCAGGGAGCCCGCAGAGCCCCGGGCTCGGCCCCCCAGCCTGGCCTGGACTGGAGGGGAAACTGGGTGGGGGCCAGACAAGAGCAACAATTGTGTCAAGAGCCCCAAAGCCACTGGGTGTGGGGATGGGGGTTCCTAAGGGTTCCATCCATAGGGCCACCCCCGCTGGACGGGAGAAGGGGCCTTCTTCCCATGGGGAGAGTGTAAGGTAGACAGAACCAGAAATCAGACTGGAGTCTGGGAGGAATTGTCAAGGGACAGAGTAGAAAGGGGAGGGGACAGGGGTGTGTGATGCTGTGGGGAATGGAAATCCGGGGGAGGGGGTGCACCCTGTCCCGGAGGCGTTATCACTTCAAAGGAGGGGGGCGTCTCTTGGAGATGGAGGCCAGCCTTGCTCACCTGCATCTGGACGACCGCCTCCCCGCTGCAGCCGGGATTTTTGGGTGGGCTGTCAGGACCTTCCAGATAAATGGTGTCTCGGTGAAGCGCATTTCTCTACCAATCATCAGGGGTCCCTGCCACCAGAGCAAGGCCCCCCCAGGCTGGGCCTGTGCCCTCCCAGACCACAGAGGTCATGGCCACAGTGAAGAATCTGAGGCCTTTGCTCAGGACCCCCCCAGTCCTACGCCTCCCTTTCTGCCAGCACAGACACCAAACCCTTGGAGAAGCAGGAGGGCAGGGCAGGGCCAGTAGACGGATGGGGAGAGCCCAGACCAGGGGACACGCCTGGCCCGAGCCCAGGCTCCAATCTTGCCCCAAACCCCTGCTTCCGGGGGGCAGCCTGCGGCCCTGAGACAGCTCTGGTTGGCCTGCAGGAGCCAGCTCTCACAGGGGGCCAGAGGAAGCAGGACCAGAAGCTTCTCTCCCCAGGGCCACCCAGAGCCGGCTGTCCTACAGTGACCTACGCAGCCTAGTTCCTCAGGTGCCCACCAGCCGGTTACACCTTCCCATGGCCCCACATGTCCAAGCACGCACTGTATACAGGTGGATGCACGTAAAATGCAAGTGAATTATTACATGAGGTCAGTTCCCTAAGCCCCTTGCTCCCCAAATCCCTCGGACCTCATTTTCATAAGTACTTAAAAGAAAAGTCTTAGCAAGTCCCCAAAGCAAGAGTGTTTGCAAATAAATTACAGCAACAGTCACATTAAATGTTTCTAAAAATTGTCTTTTTTAACTCTTAGCCCATCTCTCAATTAAGCAGGTTTTATACATAACACTTTAAAAAAATTTCTGGTTTGCCAAGCAAAGCCTGTTTCTGTATTTAATAGTTTTATTTTTACCTTCCGCAATAATGACGGGACACTTAAGAAATTAAGCTTTTTCTCAAGAGGCATTTCTCAAGATTTAATTTCACAACATGAATTATAACTTCAAAGTTAGGACTTCTGGAAGGGAGGGTCCTTTCCAGGAAAATCTTGGTTCTAGGACCGAAAGGCTGAGACACAAGATCAAATTCCTGTCCTGCCTTTTCCAGCGGAGGCAGTGGGCATCTCTCCGCTGTTGAAGGCTTAGTCCCTGTGAAACGCAGTTCGTAGGGGCAGGTCAAGGTGGAGGGTGCCTAGGAGAGTCCCCAGCACCAGCTCACAATCCTGACCGTGGCTCCTGGGTCATGCAGGTGAGGTCTTTGCTGCTCTCGAAGACTGGGCAGCAGAGCCTGGGGCTGACGTATGAAGAGTTGCATTATGTGCTCCCTGGCAAAGAGACCGCACCCCTCCAGGAACTGTCATCCCGCCAAGACCTCAAGGAACCAGGTCTTCAAGAAAAGAAAGAGATGATTGGGTATCATTTTATAGCAGCGGAATCCTGCACCTAACACTAACCATTGTGTTTTACGGTTTGACAGCTTCTGTCCTGGGGACCGATCGGGGCGCCTGGCTGAGCGGCTGTGGCCCCGTCCTCGGGCTCGGGGGAAGGAAGGGCCGCCCCCCTCTCCTGAGCCCACTCCCCAGGCTGTCCTGCACTGGCTCGTCTCAGGCCTCTGGGCCAGCGTGAGAAGCAAGAGTGGGGGTGCATTCCAGGAGCAGTGGCCCCTGACCCTCAGGACACGGCACCTTCCGGCAAGGCGAGACCACCATGGGCCCTCTCCCAGAAAAATCCCGGACATGCCACGTTCTATGTGGCTTTGCACGGTTCTTAGACCCTTGGGGGCAAGGATGGTAGTAACCACCTTGCACCTTCCTAGATTCTCTCCGAGTCGATGATGCTGCTAGAACAGACACAAGCGGGCTTATGAGGACCCAAATAGTCAGGCAAGGGTTAGGGAGAGGCCAGCGCCGGGACAGCCTGGCCACCTGAGGATGGGGGGCTTCTTGGCGTCTGGCGGTGGAGACAGTGGGAGGAGAGAGCGGGACCCTCCTCAGCAGACACAAGCACAGGTGCGGAGGGCACTGGCGTGTCTCTCAGAGACGGCTGCCTGGAGAGCTGGAGTCTCCCCGCCTGCAGGTCTGTGCTGGCGCAGCTGCAGGGCGCTGTGCACTGAGATCACCCTCCCCTCTCCTGCAGCGCTCCGAGCAGCCCCAGCCGCTCCTCTTCCACTTCCTTCTTTGTTGGTGGCGAGGGATTCCCAGGCCGCCATCACCCTTTGTGGATAGTGGGGGCCCAGGAGCCTGGGCGGTGTGGACTAGCTGGGGCCGGGAGGCTGGGACTGCGCAGGACACTTCACCTCTGAGCCTGGGGTCAGAGGACACTTTCTTGAAGGGCTGAGAGTAAAGACTTTAGGATGTGTGGTCACGTGGCTCGGCCTCTGGCCCTCTACTCAGCCTGAGCTCGAAAACTGCCTGGAGGCAGACAGCAGCCCGGCCCGGCAGGGAGAGTGACACTTGACTGGTACGCAGCCCCACGTGCGGGCCCTGCTCTGTGACTCTGGCCTCAGACCGTCGGAAACACCTTCAGGCCAAAGGGCACCTGCAGAGCCAGGTCACGGGGACAGAAGGACAGACAGGGGCACAGGTCAGAGCATGGAAGTGACGAAGGAGTCCCGCGCCTGCTGTCGGGTAAGCAAGTGTCTTTATTGAGAACATGTACGTCTGGCAAGATCTGGATTAGCATTTTCTCTTATCCTCGTGAGTGGGACAGAAGGGTTGCAAGTCAGTGGAGGCACAGAGAGAGGGCCTCCTGCCCAGGGGACAGGATGCGGCTCTGCTGCTCCCGTGACGACAGTGACACGGAGGTCCGTGTCACCTTCCTGGGGAGGGCTCTGGACCGGCTGCCCCGCCGGGCTGTGTGCAGAGGGAGCTGCTCCCAGAGGCTCTGGCCGGCCAGCCCTGCCCTAGGTGGCCCGCACCTTCATCTCCGACACCTTGTAGCTGTAGTTGTACCCCTTCCCTGACCTCCAGTTGATGCCGTTTGCAAAGCTCTCGTGGGGCCCCCCAAGGTAGCGACCGTTCAGGTTTGACACGTGACAATCCTTGTACCACCAGGCCCCCTGGTACTGCACGGCACAATTGGCAGTATTTTTGTCACTGTCTTGATCTTTGGTGGAGAAGGCGTTGTCGTTGTGGGACGTCAGGGAATCACCTGCTCAGAAGGAAAGGTCGCCTAATTGGCACACAGGGCTAAGAGGTCCCCGACGCTGGTCCAGGTCAAAGCTGCTGTGTCCGGGTGTGCAACTCCAAGGGGTGCCCCTCACATGACCCCAGGGAGCATCCCTCTGCTGATGGAGTGGCCTTGGTATCCCCTCATCTGGTCTGCTCCTGCCAGCTAACAGGCATCCTCTCACTTAGGGGGAGAACTCTTTCACTCCTCAGGGAAGAATTCCAGTCACAAGAGTGGGAATGGAGCCTTCAGGGAAATGGGCTCAATTATCATCCTTCCCCGTTTTTCATCAGAAATGGTAGTTAATAATAATGCCACAGCTTTTTGGACTTGGTCATGGGTCACATCAGCCTTGTGGGTACACTTAGGTGTGCGTAGTATTACCTTACCGTGTGGATAAGAAACTGGTGGGGTTAAGTCCCCAAGAACGTCACACACAGAAGAGGCAGAGCCAGGACGCTAAGCAGGTCCTCTCTGCTTCCCCAAACCCCGTGCTGAAGCCCAGGCCACTGCTGTGCCCCACGCGGACTCTCACCTGCACTGCCCCCGACAAAGGCTCCCAGGACCAGCTTGTACTTCTCTGCCTCACCCGCCATCTTGAATGACTGGTACTTGGCAAATTGGTGGTTGCCCTCAAAGTCCACGAGGTCTACCCGCAGCTCGCTGCTTCCTGTTGGAGGTGGGTGCTCAGGGCCCAGCAGAAGGGACCCTCTGCCTACAGGCACGGGGGGTGGGAATGTGGGCTTTAGGGGACGTCTGAACTTGGCATCGGGGACAATTCACCGGGAAGGTGTGAGAGGCTGGGCTGGTGGGAGGACCTCAGGGATGCCTCCCTGTTTTCAAATAGCTCCCCTGCTGCTCCATCAGCCATGCCTGAAATTCCACCGTCAGTGGACCTGGATGGAATGAAGCCTCGCTCTAGTGGGAAACCCTAAATTCTCCTGCAAATAGCTGTGAATGCCACGGCAGGAAACCTTTGCATGTGTAGTTTCTTCTGCAAGGATTTCAGGCACATGAGTGGACACCGTCAAGGTTGCCATGAGGGAGTGGAAGGAGTAAGAAAGGATTTACACGTTTGCCGTTGAACTCAGGACCAGCTGTGAAGCTGATTCTGTGGAACGGAGAAGTGGGGTGAGGGGGCCTGCGTGGGGACCGCCACATGCACTGAGTGGGAGAGGCAAGGGAGGGGCTCCGTGGGCCTAAGATCCCAGTTTCAAGGAAGGACCAACCGTTGGAAGTGGGAGAAGGGCCACCCCGATCCAGATGGCCTCCCCCTCACTTCCGACTCTCGGGTTCTAGACACGATCGGTCCCGAGACCAGAAGTCGTCTTCACTCCAATAATCCACCTGCTCCGATTTGAACACTCAGAGAGTGTAAGAGAATACACGTCCTAGGTTCTCAGAGTTAATAACCCCTCCTGCTGTCACACGTGACCACCCCGGGGGCCAGGGGGAGCGGGGTCCTCTGGCCCACATGGCCCAGGGCTGAGGTCCTCTGGCCCACATGGCCCAGAGCGGGGTCCTCTGGCCCACATGGCCCAGGGCTGAGGTCAGGGCATGTGCATTTCAGGCACCCCACCACAGAGCCCCCGGCCGTGGCCCTACCCTGGGCGGTCAGGGCGTGGATGTTTTCATTCCCCAGCCAGAACTCTCCCAGCTGACTGCCGAAGCCCTGCTTGTAGGCGGCCCAGTCCCGGTAGAAGTCCACAGAGCCGTCGCTCCTTCGCTGGAAAACCTGCACACGATGGGGAGGGCTGGGGAGATGGGGCCCCACTGCCGTCCCCCCACAGGGCACCCCGGCCACACGCGGGAGCAGCGCTGGTAGTTCACAGGCATCACAGGCTGAGGACCAGAACGCGGGTCTCTTCCAAGAGCCCGGGGGCCGCCAGGGACCCCACGTGGGACCAGGGAGGAGACGGAGGCTCAGAGAGGGCAGGCGACAGGCCCAACGCCACACAGCTGCAGAGGGGTGGGCACCTCCGGGCCTGAGCCCACAGCCCTGAGCCACGGGACTCCTTCCCGTGTGGGTCCACAGCCCCCTCCCCCCGACATTTCTGATTCTCCCGACCTCAGTGAAAGGACGGGGGCAGCCTCTGCCTGGAAGGAGTGGACGGTCACAAAGGCCACTAAACAGTGCTCTGCCACCAGGTGAGGCTCCCAGGCACGCCCACCCCTGCCAGGAACCCCACGGCCATCGCTGGGTGAACCCCACGGCCATCGCTGGGTCCCCCCCACTCACGGTCCACCCCCCGCCGTCCACGTCCATGTCACACAGCACGGTCAGGGGCCGGCAGTCGGGCAGGTAGATGGTGTGCCAGCCGCTCAGAAAGTGTCCCCTGGTGAGCAGCTCCTTACAGGTCCGAGGTCCTGGGAAGGGAAGCCGGGGAATGGACACCAGGACAGGAGCTCTGGGCGGGCAGGGGGGAGGGGGAGGGGGAGGAGGGAGAGGCAGGGACACCTGCCTGGGGGAGGTGGGCTCTGAGTCCTGGGACAGAGACGCGGCCCCCAAGGCCACCCGGCTGTGACGGCCAGGCCCCGACGACCTGGCCATCCCCACCTCCCAGGGCTGCCCCCGCCTAGTCTCCTGGGCACCTGGCCTCCTCCAGGAATATACTCGAGTTATCCAGGCAATGGCTGCCTATCACTCGGGTAAGTGGGGAGTAAGATATACGCAGAGAGGGTTTTGTCCTTGGAAGGTGGAACCTGAGTCTGTGCAGCTGGCCTTCTGGTCGACCCACCCCTCCCCCACCCCCAGCAGGAGCAGGTCCAGGCGGAGGTCCGGGGGTCGGCGTGTGCGCAGTCACCTGTGGCACAGGAATGAAGCTGCCCCGGGTCTCCTGTTGTGGGGAGCGAGGACATGCACGTCACACGTCTAGAAACAGCGCCCCCACCCCTCAGCCCCGTTGCTCCGTGAACACAGCGTGGAGAAAGGAAACCATCATCCAGCTCTTTGCAGGACCCTCAGCCTCCAGCCCTGCGGATCAGCTCCTAGACTCAGTATCCCTGGGCTTGCTCGGCCCCCACTGCATCCGGCCTGCCTGGGGGCTGGCGGCCAGCACCGTCCCGCGGGGCACTGGCTGGACCGCCGTGCCGGCCACCTCGCCTGGGCTTCACGGCTCACGGCGGTGGAGGTGCAGCGCCCCCAGGCCTATCGCTTTCCACAGCCCATGTCTCCAGCACAGCCTCTGCTTGTGGAAAGTACTGGGGAGCATTTGGGATGTGGGTCTGGGCCCCAACCTCGCACTTTGTATTTGTAGCCAGAGCATGTGACTGTGTCTTGGCGTTTTGCCTTTTCTTGCTTTTACAAATTTTTAAATAAATGAGCATAAATCAGAGCATTATAAGCAACATGTCCAAAACCATGTAGCAAAGCGGTATCGCCAGTCACCTGGGTCGAACTCCGGAGCCTCTGGGCTTTGAGCGCTCACCGGCCGCTGACAAAGCAGGCCGGGCTCAGGGGCCCCTCCTCCCGCACCCATCCGCTGCAGGGCCAGGGCCAGGGCTGTGGTCTGAGTTCCTCCCCCAGATGGTGGTAGCCGTGACCGAGCTCTCTGGATGCCCCAGCCCCCTGCAGAGCCTGCCCAGTGACCCCAGGGAGGCGGAGGGGCTCACCTTTCTCTCCGCCTGCGCCCTTTTCCCCTCGGTCTCCTGGGGAGAGACAGGAGATGCACAGGACGTCTGGTCAGTGGACGTCGACCCTCCGCTCTGGAAACCACCCGAGTGCTCACTTCCTCGGGAGCTGGGGCCTGGGGGGCGGGGCTGAGGCTCTGGGCACCACACGTGCATGCTCCGCGGCCCACACTTTTCCAATGCCTGGGTCTCAGCCAGGGGAGTTGCGGGGGGCGGGGCTCAGAGGCCTGGATTCTTCCCTGGGTTATGAGAGGCTGCTCTGGACCTGGGGCCCCGGACCCGGGACCCCGTTCACACACTGTCTCGAAGCTCTTTGGAAACAGGAAATAGGACAGGTGCCTCTGTCACTTGACCCCCCTCCCTCTCTCTGTCTCTCTCCCATCTCTCTCTCCACCTCCTCCCTCTCGCTCTCTGTCTGTCTCCATCTCTCATGTCTCTGTAGACAGGCCCCGGGGTCCTGCTCAGGGGTCCTAGCTCTTCATCACCTTTGGTACCTTTGGGCCCGGCCGGCCCTGCCTTCCCAGGGACTCCGGGAGAACCTCGCTCTCCTGTAAATTCCAAAGATACATCATTGAGGAAAAGGCAACCTGAAGAATTCTACTTGAGCACCTCTGCCCTAAGGATACAGTTCCGACCCTCCCATCCTGGCTGCAGTATCCTCAGGATCACCGCCCTGGGACTCAGCACGAGGGGACAGCAGGCGGCGAGGACAAAGCGCTCACAGCCCCCCGGTGCCGACCGGCCAGCGCGCCCAGCTCGGGCTTCAGGAACCAGCAGCGATCTGGCCCCCGACCACCTCAGTGTAGCAGCCCAGGTCCAGGCCACCGTCACGGAGCCTCCCCGGGGGCCTGGGACCAAGAGCACGTCCTCAGAGACCCTGTCACACAGGCCCCTCCAGCCCCTTGGCTCTGGGAGGGAGGCGGGGCCCTGCCCTGTGCTCAGCCCTGGACGCAGGGGTGGCCGGGCGCAATTATGCCTCCCTCTGGGGTGGTTCTCTCTCCACCTCCAGAGAGGTGGGGTCGGGAGCCACGAGGCCTCCCAGGTCTGCGTTACTGATGTGAGCAGGGGGCTAGGACCACCCAGGGCCCTGCCCCTCCTCCTGAGCCCTGAGGGGAGGGTCAGGAGAGGCGGCCCCAGGCTTAGCCAAGGCAGCAGGAGCGTCTGCCGGCAGGCTGCCCTCCCCGGGGAGTGTGGGTGTGTGGGGTGGGGCCGAGGGGGCGCCGGCTCGGCTTGGGGCGGGCCAACCACACCCACTGGTGGGCAGCCGCCCCAGCCCGGCCCCTCCTCCCAGTGTCCCCCCGGCAGGAGCCCCAGCCTAGAGCCCATCGTGGTGAGCACACGCAGCCCTCCCATCCCCAGGAGCTGCCCTGGGTGCCCACGGCCCCTGAGCTGGATGCCTCCCAGGACGTGAGAGGCTGGGGACCTCCGAGCTGGCCCTGTGTCCGCAGCCCTTGGAGCACCCACTCACACACAGGTCCGGGGCACTCACCCCTTGAGCTGCGGGCACCCCTGCCCTTCATGCCAGGCTTGGGGCCCGAAACCCCACAAGGGGGCCGCCACGTCGACGGGAGGGCTGTGGAGCGCTCGGGGCCCTTCCTACTGCGTTGAGGTCCAGCCCCACCCTCCCTGCTGACGGCTGACTGCTCTGAGCCCCAGTTTTCTCATCTGCAGTACAGACAGAAAACGCTGGGGCCGCAGTTTTCAGGTGAGAATACCGGGGTACGTGTGGCTTGGAACTCTGGCCCACGGCCACGTAAAGCCAGGGCTGGATCGAGGACCGGGAGGTGGGTGTTCTATGGAAGTGGACCCCGATGTGAGCTCATAGACTAGCTGCGACCAGCCCCCTCTTCAGGGAATGACAGACCCCGGTGGGCCTCGGGGCTCGCTCCTGACGCCAGCTCTGAGCAGGGTCGTGACCCAAGCTCCCGACCTGAGACCCGCAGGGGGCAGTGCCCACCCGGGCTCTAATTTGAGAAGAGCCGGTGCTCAGTGACCCCCATGCTCGAACGCAAGCACGTACCCTTCTGTCCACTGGCGCCTGCCTCTCCTTTGGGCCCTGTGGGTCCTGGCAGCCCCGGGCAGCCTCGGAGGATGGAGAGCTTGTCGGAGCCCTCCAGACCCACCAGCTTCACCTCTGCAGAGAGACACAGAGCGCCAGTCAGGGCGCTCGTCCTGGGCCTGAGAGCCCTGCAGAGCCGGCGACAGGCCACCCGAGCCACGGGGATCTGCCGCGCGGCGACCTCGACCTGGGCCCTTGGCTGTGGCCAGAGTCACCCGTCTCAGATGAAGGGTCAGCCTGGCAGTGAGTTTCCCGCCTCTGGTGGGCACTGGTCAGGTGTGGAGGTGATGCAGGGCAGAGCTCTGGCCTTGTGGTCCACCCTGCCTGAGCCAGCCTCCCCACAGCCTCAGTGCTGAATGGTCAGCCGGGCAGTGAGGTGTTCAAAAACGTTTAGTCTCCGCTTTTGAGAAGTGATGATTGCAACTCACTGTCACGAGGAATAAGGATATTGTCCAGAAGGGCTTAGCTCGGGGCCCAGCCCAGTTGGCTGTTAGCGCACGGGGCCTGCGGCTTTCAGACCCGACCGCTGTCAGGTCCTACTCACCTGGTGTCTGACTCACCTGGACAGGTGTCGGGGGCGGAGGTCACGGCGCACAGGAAGGTGGTGGCCAGCACTGCGGGCCCTATGGCCGTGGCCACTCCACGCTGCTCCATCGCTCTGCTGTTGGCCGCCCAAGGAGCCCTGTGCTCTTATAGGGCTGTGGCCACGCACTGTCACCTCTGGCCCTGTTTCTCCTCCCGGTGGGGACAGCCAGCTCCTCCCCCGGCTTGTGGCGCCAGCTGGAGGTGGAAGCAGCCTCAGCTGGTTCTCTTCCAGGGCCCAGATCCTCCTTTCTGAGCATCTGACTTCCGTGCTCCCTGCGGACCAGCCCCACTTCCCCTCGGCAGGGACATTTCCCTCCAGCCACCAGGCCCCCTAGGCCCTGCATAGGGAAGGGCCAGCCCCGCCCCCCTCCATCACCCAGCTCAGCCCAGGCCACATCTGAGGCCTTCTGGGGGGGGGGGGGGGCAGGGTTTGAGGAATTCATTTGCATTTTATGGGCTTCAAGTCTACAGAAATTTAGAAAGTTCTCCTGGGGTCTAGGGTGATTAGAGGGGAGGGGCGAGGAGAGCAGGATGTGTGCGGCGGAGATTTCCCCAGGCCGGTGTGCCGTGGGCGTCCGACTGCAGTGGACATGCAGCAGGAGAGAAGCAGGGGCGGCCAGGCCAGGAGCATCGCAAAGCGTGGCCCTGGGACCTTGACAGAGGCTGGACGTGAACCCGACTGCAGCAGTTCCAGCCTGGGGGGCGTGGAAGCGGGGCCAGGTGTGGCGTGGGGTGGGGGAGGGCATGAAATTGCTTGGGGGGGCATTCAGCACCCACCCCAGGAGGGACCAGGCTGTATGCTTTTCCCACACCTCCCAGGGAAGGGCCACACGCTGAGGCTAGCTGTCGCCGGGACTCCCGTTAGAGATGGAGGTGGCAAGTCTGTTCCCCCAACCCCGTCCCAACAGCCCCTGCCCAGGTGGGGTGTTGGGATCCTGACCCCAAGTCAGACAGACTCATGTGAGTATCAAGGGTCCATCGGAGACAATTTCAACGTCCATGGGGTGTGTGGCCTGAGTCTATGACCGCTGCTCAAAGACCTCCACTCTGCAGGGGAGAAAAAGTAACATTCTCCCCACCCTCTGTGTTCTCAGCTGAGACCCCTGTAATGCAAGACAGAGTAACAAGAGAAAAGCACAGAGAAGGTTCTTAGCACAGGTACTCTGTCCATATGGGAGACACCCCGGGGAATGAGTAATTCCCCGAGGTGGCTTAGAATTCAGGACACAGTACTGTCTCAGTAGGGGAAGGGGGGGTGGGGAAGGCATCTTAGACAAGAGGAAATGGTTTTAGGAAAGGGGCCTGGGCCTTGCAGGGCAGGCGGAGGTCGGCTAGTTTGTGACAGTTTGAGTGTGGTGTCCACCTCTGGTGTCCTCTCCTGTAACGAGTCAAGGGTCCATCTTCCTGGTTGATGAGGCCCCCGGGAGGGGCTGACAGCGGAGTTTCTTGTGGAGGCTCTGTCTTTAGGCAAAAAGAGGGAGTGCACAGAAAGCTCCCCCTGTATTTGCTGGTTTTCAAGCACCCACAGCTCAAAATAATCAATAGAGTGAAGTGTGTCATGCAGCGGATTGACGGGGGTGTGTACTGCTGCTGGGATGTAAACTTCGCAAGAGCAGGGGATGCCAGACCCCATCCATCGTGGGGACAGACTCGGCCGGCAGAGGTGGGCTCCCTGGGGATGTGCAGACAGAATGCGAGAGAGACCCCCCCGAGCTGGGGCTGGAACAAAGCCCCTTAGCACCTGTGCTATGTGGGTGAGGGTTGCCCTCCTGGCCGGGGCTGCGCTTCTCACTGAGTGTAGACGGGGCGAGAGGCTGACATTCACAGTGTTCATACTGTAGCGTCAGTAAACTGATGTCCATTTGGCATTTGGGGTGTTGGCTTCATTTAAGAGAACTTGGCCTGTTACAGTAACAGCCTGATAATCCAGTTGCAAGTGCGACCTTGAATGATGGAACGAGTTAGTGATTTTATGCGGAAATCTTGCTGTGCTTAGAGTTGATAGTCGAGACCCCTAAATTCATCACGTTCATATGTTTACGTTAGCAGATTTCTAAAAATGAACTTCTACTCAGAAGGTTTTGTTAAAGGCAGACAACTGAAACCTGAAAGCACAAATGTGAATACATTCATTTTGAAAATGCAATTAAAACGTTGAAAGCTGTTAACTTAGTGCATTAATCATAGGCCCCTTAAAGGAAGTGATTCAGATGGGCCTGTTATATAGAGAATAAAGTTTATAAGTCCAACTTAAAAGCTTCAGGTATCACGGGACTTTTGAATTGATAATGTTAATATGTTAATTAATGTTAACATATTATAATGTTAACATAACATAATGTTAATATGTTAATGTTAACTGAACAAATTGCATTTGATTTAATTTAAAAAGACAGAAGCACACCGAGTAATCTTCTCTGTGCCAGAAAGGAAACAAAAGTTAGCGATGAAGCCCCACGGAGGAGAGAGCGCCCCACACGGCAAGCTCAGGCACTGCTCAGCTGCGGTGCCTCTGAGGGCATCTCCTGTTAGAGACGGGACACTGAGACGCAGAGAAGGAAGGATGCTGTCTGGGGACAACACAGCCTGCCAGTGGTGAGGCAGGATTAGAACTCTCTCCCCAGAGGTCCTGGGATGCTATGTCCTGCCCCCACCCCCTCCCATCCTCCTTCCCCGTCCTGACTCCCCAGCACCTGCCTGCCGGTGCACGTCTCCGCCCCCCACAGTGAAGGGTTTAGGAACCTGTGCTCAGGTTACTGGTCCAGGGCACCTTTTCCTGCTCAACCCTCATCTTTAATGGCCCCCGCACAGGAATTAGACATTCCCAGCATCCGTGCAAGGCTCCCTGCTGGAGCTGAAAGGCTGCTCCCACGGCAAGTGAAGGATTAATCCAGGACGATCCGAAATGAAAGTCTGGTCATTGGCTGCCTTGCACCTGGGCTATTCCTGCTCCAGAATTTCCGAACTCGGATACCGCTGGTGCCCCATGAGCATCCCCTGGGCCAGCGCACAGGGATTCGGTTTCCCGTTCAACTGGCCTCACCAGCAAGAGAGAAAGGGATGTTTAGTGAACACCTGCTATGTGCCCCGTGCTCCTCTGGGCCCCGTGACACAGGGGGAAACAGAGCAGACGGCCCCTGCACGCTTGGAGGGGACTGTGTGCTACTGAGGGGAGACAGAAAAGAATCAAAGAGACAAACAATTACATCATACGAATACAGTATGAACTGTGATGTAATTTGAAAGCAACGTGCGCTCCAAGGAAATACATGCAGGGCATCTCGTTAGGGGTTAATCAGACTGAAGCATAAAACCTGAAATCTCTGTGACCTCGCATACAGTGGTCCTAACAGCCCAACGAGTCGGGGGTGACTTCAAGACCCACGTTCCTCCGGCACATGTCTGCCACCTTCCAAAGACGGCTGCTGTCCTGAGGGCCATCTTCATCCCAGCCAGCAGGGTGGGAAAGAACATGGAGCGCCCCACGGGGGCAACATCGGGCCTGGGGGGGCACCTCCCTCCCACCTTCCTTCCTTCCGCTGGCTCTGGACCACGGCCCCATCTGGCCACCAGCGTCCTGGGGAAGCAGCCTGGTCGTGTGACCAGGGGGTCTCTTCCGGCGGGTGCTGCCAAGCACACAGGACAATGGACTGAGACTCCGGAGGGTGCATTTTTCAAGGTCACTGTTTGCTTAGTGTGTGTTTTTCATTCATCAGCTTCCGCCCTGCCGTCCCTGTGCGGTGCGTTTCCCGCCAGCAGTGCATCGCGGATTGGATTCTCATCTGCGCTCACGTGATTGACACAGCGTGATCGCTGACGTCCCTGTGTTGGGTGTACCCATGTCCTCTTCCATTTACATCCCGTCGTTTTTCCCTTGTGCTTTGCTTCCTTTGTGTTGGTCGAGCATTTTTAGTATTTCATTCCATATCTGCCTTGAATTCGGGGTTCTTCCTCTGTGTTACACTGAGCGGTTGCCCAGGAAATACATTATAAACGAATGCCGTCCCCCTCAAGGGGCTTCACCCATCACGTACCAACCCTTCCACAATCCTTTTTACTACTGTTGTTGTAGAATTTGTTTCTACCTATAGTTTAACCACACAGTGCGTTTTCATTATTTTGGTCTTAAAAATTCAAAAGTCTTTTAACAACATTTTTAACTGAAAAAGAGAGTACTTTGCACCTATCCTCGTACTGACTTTCTGTCACCCTTTGCCTCTTCCTAAGAATTTGCTTTTTCAACTGGGATCCTCTCCCATCAGCCTGAAGAACTTGCTTCCTCGTTCCTGGTTACGTAAATCTGCTTGCAACAAATAACCTTTATTTTTTAAAAAATATTTTTTTGAAGTACAGTTGATTTACAATGTTGTATTAGTTTCTGGTGTACAGCAAAGTGATTCAGTTATGCGTAAATATTTTTTTTCTTATTCTTTTCCATTATAGGTTATTATAAGACATTGAATATAGTTCCCTGTGCTATACAGTGGGACCCTGTTGTTCATCTATTTTATATATAATAGTTTGTATCTGCTAATCCCAAACTCCTAATTTATCCCTCTCCCCGCTTCCCCTTTGGTAACCATAAGTTTGTTTTCTGTGTCTGTGAGTCTGTTTCTCTTTTGTAAATAAGTTCATTTGTATCATTTTTTTAGCTTCCACATATAAGTGATATCATGGTATTTGTTTTTCTCTGTCTGACTTACTTCACTTAGTATGATAATCTCTAGGTCCATCCACATTGCTGCAAATGGCATTATTTCATTCTTTTTTATGGCTGAGTAGTATTCCGTTGTATATACGTACCACATCTTCTTTATCCATTCATCTATCGATGGGCAGTTAGGTTGCTTCCATGTCTTGGCTATTGTAAATAGTGCTGCTATGAACATTGGGGTGCATGTATCTTTTCAAATTAGAGTTTTCTATAGATATATGCCCAAGAGTGGGATTGTTGGATCATATGGTAACTCTATTTTTAGTTTTTTGAGGAACCTCCATAGTGTTTTCCATAGTGGCTGCACTAATTTACATCCCCACCAACAGTGTAGGAGGGTTCCCTTCACTCCACACCCTCTCCA